CTGGGTGTCACTGGCGCATTGGCCGGAAGACGGCGGCGCCTGGTTCTGAACACAACCCTTTTCTCTTGCAGGAGCTCCAGCTGTCAAGCTCAGGCATGAACTCGAACATTGAGCAAGTCCCTCGTTCTCCAGAATACAGGGGAAGCAAGTGCTCACGCGGACGGCGATCGGCGTTATTGGAGAATCCCTGTAGACTTTGCTGGTCCAGTCGTTTAACAACACACAGTAGTGCGGTCGACGGCGCTGTTACAGAGCGGCCAGTCGGGTGTCTGGCATACGACTCTGGTGGGAAGCATATTTCGTTGATCGTTTATACGCGGTGCGCGTAGTAGTAGCTTAATTGACCGGGACGCGCATCAAAAATGGTAGTGAAGGTTGGTAGGTACATGCTACTACTACTACTACCTTGCTTGCCAACGACAGCAGAAACCGCCACCCGCGGAGGGACGGGATGGAAGCAAAAAGGGTTTGGGATCACCAGACTTTTGAGCCGTCCGAAGAGGTCTGTCCACACCACACAAACGTACATCTGCGCGGGCAGGCAGGCCGAGACGATCGGTAGTCGCCGCGTTCCTCGTGTGGCTGAGTGGTTGACTGTGTTGTGTCTTTTGGTGGCTGCAAATGGGCAGAGATGCGGTGAAAATCACCTGCCGATCTGTGGCTGCGTCACACTACGATCGTCAACCCTTTTTGCCTGGTTTTGCACTCTCTTTCCCATTCAGAAGGGTCCTGTTACTGGGGAAAACAGACGCGCCATAATGCAAGGACCGGAAATCCATTATCCACCATGCCGTCGTGGCAGACGTTGACGGGACATTCTCGGCGGTTGCGCGGCCAGCGGATGGAAACGGTCCCAGGGTGATGCAAGTTGGGGACTTGGAATATTCCCAAGGCAGAGCACATTACTGCGTACGGATGCATTGTACAGAAAGCATTGCGTCGAGTCTGGGATACGGATACACAGCAGGAGATCCGTCAGAAATGGATGCTAAGAATAACACGTCTGGCAAGGGCATCAATCAAGGCGATACGTACCGCAGTAGGTATCGTTTCCACGCTTCGCTTCCCTCCTCCTTTCCAGGTTATTCTGCCTCTTTCCCTTGGCGGCACCGAAGCTTACATATGCCTCAGTGAACAGAGGTACTTCTTCATACAAAGTGCAGCAGCACAATCGACACACAAAGTGAGTTGGTGAGGAAGGCGCATTTCGCTGGGTGGGTGTTCCCCCCAAAAGTCGCACCTTGTTTGTTTGTGGTTTAGTGGGCGCACCCTGCGGCTGGCGAGAGGTACGTACCGACCGAGACCATTGGCCGTCGGCGTCACCCCCACAGCAGGTCACTTTGAGTCCTCAGGTCGACCGTCGGTAATGATGGCCCTCAGCAGCATCAAGGTAGCTTTGGTATGTGGCCTCGCGCAAAAAAGTACCTGGGGTGCTCATGTCCCGCGTCGCCTCGTAACCGCATTGGGGCTGGCCTCGACAGCCCTGGGACGACCTAAGCCCACTGTCCAGCAGCGGTCCTGCAGTCGGCCCTGCAGCGGTCCAGTCCAGCCCGCAGGCCAGGCCCCACAGGGGTCCGCCAGTGGCCGCCCGGGGCTTTATTCGCTTCCATCCATGGACCTCTCTTTCATCAGTCATCCACAGGCATTGAGGGAGGTCTCAGGGAAGTCTCCTCGGAGCAGGTCTCCGGTCTCCAGGTGCCTTCCGCTGGACTGCCTTGGCTGCCCGGGTTCTCCAGCACCCTCAGTGTGGCATTCCCCAAATTTGTGATGCCACCACCCCACCCCTTCCTCCCCCGTCCCATCCTCCCCAGCCAGTGTGTGTGAGAGTGACAGAGTTCAGCATTCCTCTCCTCTGCAGTCTGCACTCCTCCTGAGTCCTCTTGGTCCTGCCCTGGCTGCCCTCTCCGCTCCCCTCTCCCACCAGCTAGGTCGCAGCCAAGCCCGTCTTTTCTCGTACCTACCGTACCAGAATTCAGCCAATACCTGGGCCTTGAACCTGAGACGCCCCCAAGGCTGATCTCCCCAATTCACTTCCTCTTCGCCAAGCACCACGCACCAAGCACAAGGTACGGCCACAGGGTGCAGCCAGACAGAGCCCCCCCGGGTAGGTGGTAGGTACGCCAGGTACCTCTGTACTTCTTCACCACGTCTCCCGCGAAGAAATACTTCCACGGCGGTGTCTTGTGCCTCCTCCGCCCACGTCCCGCCTCACCATCCACGCTCCTCACTCCATTACGATGCTCATTTACTAACCCGCTCCTCCCGCGCTTTCCCTCCAGGGTTCACTTTTCTCATTTTCCCCAAAAACCTACCTTACCTCTCTGCCTCCCTGAACCAGTACCGAGAGAGAGCAGAAATAACAACACATCTCCGCTTGTCAATCCAGTCCGTCACCGAGGGGCCCTGCGAAAAACACAAGACCAACACCACTCTCGCCCGCGTGCCTTGCGACACCAAAAAGACCACACCCAACTACACCCTCTGCTCTCGACAAGATGGACCTCCAACTTGCCGCCCGTCAGGTCTTCGCCTGTATCCTTTAAGCCTACGCAAAGGGGAATATCTTCAACACGCCTCTTGTCTGTCTTTCCCCCCGAGAGGAAACGCCGACCTATCAATTACACACGCCTTTTGACATTCGCAACTGCAATCCTCCACCAAACCAACCGCTCTACCAATCTGCTCACACGACCACCTACCCTATTCTACCCTACTCCGAACCTGAAATCAAATCGACAAATCGACCCCCGCCATACCTATCCCCGCGATCCTCAACAAGTCACGCGAGCAAGTCTCCAAACCACGAACCCCCCTACGACGCATCAGTCACCCCACAGTCACATATGGCTGGTGAAATGGTCTCGAAACGAAGCACAAGAATGTATCTCGAGGACGCAGGCGGCCACCCAGAAGAAGACCCAACCTACAGGCCCGCGCGACGCAATTCCAAGCAAGACGACCTGATCCCCCTCGAGCTTGCCGAAAATTACCAAGCAAAGGGACCATCGCGACAAGCTTCGCGCGAATCCGTCGCAACCCTCGACGCCACGATGGACGTGTACGTGCAGAAGCAAGTCATTCTGTCAGTGGAAGAAGAATTGTTGAAGGCCGCGAGTGGCGGCGAGAAGGGTGCCGTGCGGCGAGACGACGGACTGCTCAAGGTCGCGGACCAGCTCCAAGCGCCCCTAGTGGCCCCGATATCTCCGGGCATCGAGCGAGTCCTGCCCATCGACGGCCGACCCATCAATTTTGGAGTGGTTGTCCCGGGAGTTTACCGGAGTAGTTACCCTAAGCCCGAGGACTTTGGCTTCATCCGCAACCTCGGACTGAAGTCGATTGTGTAAGTTGAATCCCATTGAAAATCCTGATGGCTCCCCGGACCTGGCTGACACTGGAACAGCACCCTGGTTCAGAAGGACGATGTAGATGAGCCTTACACGAATTTCATGTCCAGCAATGGCATCCGACACCATGTCATCAACATGAAGGGCACAAAGAAGGAGGCTATTCCCCTTCGCACAATGAAGGCCATTCTAAGATTGGTGCTCAACCGCGAGAACCACCCGGTTCTCATTCACTGCAACCACGGCAAGGTAATTTTTCCACACCTCACTACCTTTTGAACACAGGCACTAACAAGGTTGCAGCACCGCACTGGTTGTGTGGTTGGCGTGATCCGCAAGGTGACCGGCTGGGAGCTGACCAACATTGTGGATGAGTATCGAACATACGCCGAACCCAAGGTCAGAGAGAACGACATCAAGTACCTCACAGACTTTGACCTATCAGACCTCTCCAATTTGTTCGTCCACGAGGCAAACATGAGGTTTCGCATACGCCATTTCGCGCGGGTCACCCTCTTCAGCGTCTTTGTTGTCTTTGTCTGGCTGCTGTCTGGACATAGAATGACAAACACGGCTAGGCGTGTCAAAGACGTGAGGTGACAAGACGCCTTGTCGCACCTCTCGGGCCCTTGCATAATTCTTGGCGTTGGGCGGATGTTTGCCGAAGTCTGGATTCGGTGGAGCGCGGCCAGTATCTTCGGGAGAAACTCGGGGCCTCATAGCTGGGCAACAATACCCCTTTTGCAACAACAAAGACAAGAGAGAAAGCATAGGCGAGTGGAAGAAAGGAGAGTTATGTAGTCCAAGAAACTGCCGAGACACAGAATTGATCGACAGAAAAAGTGGTCGACGTAACCGGGGAAGATTGGGACCAAAAAGACATCAGGGAATCCGAAAAAGACAAAAAAGTTTGGGACGTTCATATCTGCCTCGAGGTACAGCTATAGGCTGCCCGGGCCTGGGAATGGCGGCTGCATTTTCTTTTCCTTTGTGTGGATAGACAGAATATGGGGACTCATCAAGAGCTGAGATGTCTCCTTTTGGCGTTACACTTTTGACACTCGTGGAAGGACGGGGAGGCTTCACCAGAACTGGCATTCAGTCAAGGACAGATATTTCCTTTCTCCTGCGTTGTACAATAGCTACAGTAGGGTGGTGGGCAGCCGATTAGCAAGAGCAAAAGACTCTTCTCCGCAGATATCATTGGCTTCATGTGATGACTGGCGTGTCTTATTACATTGGTGTTTTAGAGATTATGCTTATACAAATGCACTCTTGCAAAGGAGGCTATTTATGCTATGTCCGGTCCCCAGGCCCCGTGGTTTGGAGCTTGCCGGAGCATTTCCCACGTCGATCCCTCCCTCCCCCAGACGCCGTTTCGCATGTCGACGTTTCGTCTCATGACTCGACGTCTCCCATTGTCTGATAGACATCGTCTGTAGTCGTACATCATCTCCCTACTGCCGCTAAACCCGCTCATCCTGGGCTTGGCATCTTGGGTCGTGTCAGCTCGAGGCGCGGCCAAGACCAGGCACAAACCCAAGGAGAAACGGAATCCCAAGCAGGCCAAGCATCGTCTACAAGGCCGCGCCCAGCTCTTGCTCGTCCATGCTTTTCTTTCGGGCTCTCTTCGTCTTCATCAACTACAGCTTCCCCTCATGAGTCTCCGCCCCAGCGGTTCCTCGCCTTCCTCTCGGCCTCGTCCTTCTTCCGGTCCCCGCTGGCGTAGACCCACGCGCCAGCGGCCGAGTTCGCGAAGCCCATGCCGATGGCGACGCCGCGCACGGCGCCGCGGGCAGTGAACTTTGCGCGCAGCGGCTGGCGGCGGCGCAGGGCGAGGAGCGCGTAGAGGCCGGAGAGGGCGCAGGTGAAGCCGGCGCTGTCGGTGGGGAAGCCGGCGAGGTTGACGTAGCTGCTGAAGAGCAGGGCGGGCGCGAAGGAGAAGGGGAGCAGCTTGAGGGGGCGGCCGTGCAGCGCGGCGATGAGGATGGCGTGGATTGCGGGCGGGAGGGGGTTTGCTGTGGTGTTGGTGTTAGTTGAAAAGTGGTGCGGGAGGAGGGGAGGGGTGGCTGCGTACTGCCGTACTCGTGGACGTTTTGCAGGAGGGTGTTCTTGGCCTGTTCGGCTGCTGGTGTGCTGCTGTCGGAGGCCATTGTGGTGGTTTCTGCGGAGGACTGGGCCCGGTTCCGACGAGGCAATTGGAGGTGAAGAAAGTGAGTGTCGATGATGATGATGGTGGTGGTGATGCTAGACCCCGACCAATTCGTAGAGCTACCAATTGCTCCCCACACCCCAAAAAAGTGACGTGGGTTATCGATAAGAGATGGTCCCTGCGCACGGTTGACTAAGCTTGAGCCGCACCCAATCAGCTGGGCCGTGGTTTCTTTCAACTTCGACGTTGCGAGTGGCCTGGACTGCGACTGGGGGCCTGTTGCTGCAGAGTGTCTTGTTCCTTTCTCCTGTAGGACGGTCCACGGTTTTTTTTTTTTGGCTCCCGCGAGACAACGGTCGACACAATCCTCCTCGACGAAATCCTAGATATCTCTTCCCTAGGAAGCCGCTCCTAATTTACAACACGAAAGCATCGATCACGCGGGCTTTTGCGTGCATCCTCTTCTTCGGAAACCTGGTCGTAGCTGTTGCGGGGAATCGTTCCGGAGCTCCCACGCAGCCTTGTCCAACGCCAAAATCGCCCATCTTGCCAGATAGGCCGCAAAAACCACCAATCATCATCGCATCAGCCGAAGACACTGCGCGCGCAGCACCCCCCCTCGACGACGTCACATACAACCCTCGCGACGATCGCACGGAAGTACCTCGACGACGCTGTTTGTTTTCGTGCACTCGCAATCGGACCTGAATAATCGGTGAAAGCATCGACCCAGCAACAGCACCACCACCACCCGCAAAAACAAAACAACAACACCCACGGCCACGATGCCGAGCGCAACAGCCTCGGGGGCCGACACGGGCGGCAACGCCGCCCGCAACCGCGAGCACAACCAGGGCAACCAGGGCCGCAGCTACACGGTGGAGCAGAAGGCGGCGGTGCTGCGGATCCGCAAGTGCTCGCCGACGGCCTTCTACGACATTCTCGGGCTCGAGGACGTCAAGACGACGTGCTCTGACGGCGAGATCAAGAAGGCGTACCGCAAGCAGAGCCTGCTCACGCACCCGGACAAGAACGGCCACGAGCACGCCGACGAGGCCTTCAAGATGGTCAGCCGCGCCTTCAGCGTGCTGGGCGACAAGGAGAAGAGGGAGAAGTTCGACCGCTTCGGGACCGACCCGGACTCGCGCTTCGGGCAGGCGCAGGCGCAGAACCCGTTTAGTGGGTTCGCGCAGCGGCAGAGGGGCGGCGGGGGAGGCGGAGGAGGTGGTGGTGGGTTCGGCGGCGGGATGGAGGAGATGACGCCGGAGGAGATGTTCCAGCGGTTCTTTGGGGGTGGGTTTGGAGGCGGGCCGTTTGGTGGAGGTGAGAATTCTCAGTGTGCGGGTTGCAGAGACAAGGGCTAATTGACAAAACGCAGGTTTCGACACGGGGCCGCAGTTCGTCTTCAACTTTGGCGGCGGGCCAGGGTTCCGGGTGCACCAGTTCGGCGGCGCGCGGCCGCGGAGGAGACCGCGCGAGGCGACGGAGCAGGAGGGCGGCGGCATGTCGACGCTCATGGGCCTGCTGCCGATCCTGCTGCTCTTCGTGTTCCCGCTCATCTCGTCGCTCTTCAGCGGGGGCTCGACGCCGTCGACGCCCAACATCGTGTACGACAACCCCAAGGGCGCGTACACGCTGCAGCGCAAGACGCCGAACCTGGGCGCGAGCTACTTTGTCAACCCGGCCGAGGTGGAGTCGTACACCAAGGGCAAGCTGGAGAAGCTGGACCGCACGGCGGAGATTTCCCTGGTGCGCACGCTGCGGTACGAGTGCGAGAACGAGATGATGGCGAAGCGGCGCATGTACGACGCCGCGAGCGGGTGGTTCTTCCAGGACCCGGACAAGATGCGCAAGGCGGACGAGTACGAGATGCCGTCGTGTAAGAGGCTGGACAAGTACGGCGTCGGAAGGGGTTGATTGGATCCGGGGATGAGGATGAGGATGAGAGACTACTAGAACTGTGAAATGAAATGTTGCCGCTCTGGGTTGGGAGGGGGGGGGGGGTGGGTGGTGGTTCCTTTTCCATTGGCGTTCTCGGGGCGAGGGGGTTCAATAGCATTTTACGTTGGATGTGACGGGCATTATTGACGAGGAAGTATTTCCTTTTTTTTTCTTGTTTTATTATTATAACAGCTTTTATCTTTCCACTCCTCCTCCCGAGGACCAGTAAGCCCCCGTCTGCTGTTATGATAGAGTAGAAGGTGGAGGGGGAATAATATGAGGTGAGGAGTAGACATTTGAGGCCGTTTTATGTGTGATAATGTACGATATGTCTTCGTATTTGAGCTGATAGTTACGGCGCAGCCCTTATGCAATGTTCTGTTGGTCGAGGATATTGCCTTGCTTGCAATTAACAACCTCCGCGAGGTTCGCTCCCGAGAACCCCCCTGAATTGGTAGATGTGCGGCGTGTGGCGTACATGCAGGTACGTCCTCCAGAACCCGTCCTGTCCGATTTGAGGTTCCGATGTATGACCGTTGGACTGCTCCTTCGAAACCCCATGAACGACTACGACAAATTCACCAACGCGGGCATAATTTGTGAAACAGTTATCCGGGCACTTCGATTCACACTCTCTACTATTTAAGGAAAATAGTATAAAAGTCCTGGACGATCCTGCTAGCAAACAACCCCTCAGGATAATGCAAAGTCGAACGCTCGCCCTGGCCGAATGGACCAGCGGGACAGTAATGGCGTCGGTTGCGCGGCACGTGGCCGGCCGGCGTGGCACCGCACATACCCTGTTTGTCACCAGGCTGGTGTCGTTGAGGTTGTGTCAGGAGTTTGAAGATAGCTGCTAATTACCGACACGTTGGATGCTTGATGTTTATTGTTGATGTACCTGGAGTGGTTCTGAACCGCCACACTCACTTGCTGGACCGAAGCGCCACACTCAGTCATAGCCTGAACTCCTCATAACAAAAGTTGCCTCAAGGTCATTTTAATGGTCTCGAGAAACTCGAGCCGGAAATGGCGTCTCACTTGAAAATCTCTTTCATGTTCATTCCATTCCTCCGCACATTCTATCAGACTCTCATAAACTTTTCAATGGTCACGCGTCAACCAACCGTCCGGGTAATGATCATTTCATCGCTGGCATTTCAGACCTTTTGTGTTAAAAAGCAGTAGGACTCTTCTGGAAACAAAGCTTTGCTTTGTAACAGAGAAACAACTTCGCCTCTTGCCTGCTACGTGTTCAAGTGAACAAGCTTATCATACAACACGCGTGTAACACAACCTCAGTCTATTTGTAAACCCCCTCTACTTGAACCATTCCATACTTTCTAGAATAGAATAGTTACAAAATTGAGCGTTTGGATAGTGAATGATCATCTGTTGCTCAACTAAGGAACCCTTGCACACTGAGTTCCGGGGCCATTCTTACCAACAATCCAGGTGTTAGGGTATGGACCCCGCCGCTACGTATATAGATCGAAGCAAACTTAGCAGACATGCCGTGATGGTTTCTCCTTTCACATCTCCGAAACTCGTAGAGAAAATTCTCCATTCATTTCAAAGACCAACTAAGACGTCCAAAAGAAGCAGCCATGTGTTGCCCTAACTGCGCCGAAAGCCCGACAAACCCGCGACAAACTCCAGGATTGGAATTTAACCCAAAAATAATCTCATTGTCATGCGATTCTACGCTTAAAAGAGCTGTCTCAGAGAAAATCAAATCGACCTTGACCACGCTCCCGACTGAGATACTGGCGTTGATCGTTAGCCACCTCATTCCAAAATGGATCACCTTTCCCGACCTAACCTCCGACATCAAAGCTCAATACGCGCTACGAAAGGGCGGCGATAAAACAGAAGCATACTGGTCAGTTGCTCGATACGTCGGGTACTCCAACCCTTTGGAGAAATTCTGCGCGGCCCATGTCGTTCCAAAATGGCTCTCCTTCAACGTTGACAACGACCTGCTCAACTTTGCGAGGACAAACCCCAGAGTGTCAGAGATCTGCGATAGGGAAATCTACCGCAATGTGGTTCTTCTAGACGCTCCATACGAAAGAATATGGAACGCCTTGGACACCCTTGCCCGGAATGGAGAGCTCCTTCAGCCGCTGGTCAAAAGGCTTTCTGTAAGATACACCTGCCGCCCGGGAGGAAAGCAAATCCATGACACCTTTGAATGGAAATGGGGAATCAGGAACAAGCTCTATGATGACCTCCGGGGCTTGAGAAACTTACGCCGTCTCGAAATTGACATCTGCCACGACTCCAGCCAGCGCTGGGAATGGTATCAACTGCTGCCAAAGCTACCGGCGCTGACCCACCTGTTTCTCAGAGGCTTTCAGTACATGGAATGCGAGCTTCCTTACCTACCGCAGGTCAAGGAGGCTCATTTTAACGAATGTTCGGTGCTGGGACACTCCGCCAACAATGGCAATTCAATCAGGAGAGTGTTCCAGAAATTCCCTTCTCTGCATACCCTCTTCATCATGAACAGCAAGAATGTCTGGGGCCATATCCCGGAAGACGTCTTCGAGCCCTTTGCAGACACTCTCCACACGCTCGTGTGGACAGGTACTGGCCGCGAGCTCATCTGCCAGAATGCCCTTCGTCGTCTGAAGAAACTAAAACACCTTAAGTCAAATGCGTACAACAGTCTAGTCGCAGGGGAGATTGCTTGCTCGGAGCCATCCAACCTTTTTTCTACTCTGGAAACTGTGGAATATGTATATCCCGCAGAAGGGATATGGGATGAAGAAGCGGACGAGCCGCAACAAAATTTGGGTGATTGGAAACGCATGCTTCGGAGGTTGGCGGAGAGCTGTGAACTGAACTACACGAGCGTTCGGGTGGTGGATGTCAGTTCTATCGAGTACATTCCGTCGCCGGGGACGTACAAATGTGAGGCGCAACCCGTGTTTGACGCTGCTAAAAAGAGGTTTGAAGAAATTGGGGTCACTTGTATTCTTCCTGAGTATCCCCGACAGGCTCCTGAACCGGAGCCTGAACAGGAACCTGAGCAGGAACATGAACAGAAACATCAAC